CCCCCCCCCCGTGTCCAATGATGCCGTCTGGGCGTGATGCGATGATTGACGTGACGTCCTATACTGCCTGGGGCAGAGCGTCACGGCGGCTGGGAGGGCCCGGAGGCCTCCGGGAAGAGAGCTCCACGAGCCCTCCAGCAGCACCAGAGTGCTACAGCCTCACAGTAGTAAGCACTTCGGCGGGACTGTACGCCGCCGTCTGGCCTCCTGGGGGGCCTCGGGGGGCGAGCGCCATCCGCCCTGCTCGCTGTTGACTGTCCTGTTCGGCCCGAACGGAGCCCCGCCTGACGAGCCGAGGGCTGACGCGAAGCGACGGGGTTGCGCCCCCATACGTCCCCGCCGCCTGTGGCGTGGCGTGACGCGTCGCCACCCCGGCAGCGCCGCCGCCGCGAACCGTCGAACCGTGTCACCCGCACGCGCGTCCATCCGCGGGGACCACAGCCTCTCCCTGTACCCCCCCCCCCCCCTCCCCCCGGGTGAAATGCGCCGGGCGATATCTGGCGTGACGCACGGCTGACCTCTGCGACTGACGACAGTTGGTTTCCCTAGCCCGCAAAGCTTTTTAGACAGTCCCTTGTGGTCTGTCTCTACCCGAAGGTAAAAGTTTCCCGTTTAGATAGATATTGCCGGTTCTCGTTATCCAGTTTTGATAAAGATTGCCGATTAACGTTCCAGTTCCAGTTCCAGTTTTGATAAGCCGATTGACGTTGATAAAGATCTGTCTTCTTGCTATAATATTAGGCTGTGGGGGAAGGCTTTCCGTCCGTTTTCCGTCCGGACCAAGCCCGGTGGCAGTCCCCTGTCATCGCTCTGGTTCTGTTATAAACATAGCGCCCTTATCCCTTGCTTCGCGCCGGGCCATGGTGCGCCAGCCGACCCCCACTTGAGCCTCTTTAGGCAAGCTGCGTTGCGCCTCGCGCCCCGCGCCCCAACCTCGCCCTCTTAGGGCTCAATCGGCACCGAGCGCCACATGGCCCGTCCACTTGACAGGTGATCCCCAGCCTCTAATTTTAAATTTGAACCACAGCGCTCTGAAATATAAATGTGCTTGTTTTCGCGCACGCAAAAATTACAAATCCAGCTAAATTTGAATGGTGATTCTAGCATAATTTGCTGATTTTCGTTGTTTGTTTTATTTTAACCACAGATTTCCGTAACATGAAAAGGAGCTCCTGGATAAAGTGAAAGGGGTGAAAGTATCCCGTTTTGATGAAGGTTGCCGTTTCCGGATATTGCCGATTAACGTTCCGGTTTTGATAAGAAGATTTTCAGTCTTATTTTGATGCCTTATTGAATTCAAAGATACAAGCCTTAGCGCCTGTATATTTTGAATTTGCTTTTGGAGCTGGACTGTCTCGTTACCGGCCGGCAGGCCAGTTTTTTATTTGGTTTGAAGAAAGAGAAGATGTCTCCTCTTTTGTTTCACCAGATTTCGTGGAACCCCAAGGTTTAATCATTCATTCGACCGGAACACGCGAGACACATATTCTAATGCTCTTAGAACCTCACGTCCCTCTCTTCCCCCTCTCTGTATCTGACTCACACACACCCTCACGCACTATCTCACTCACACGCACGCCGTTCCGCTTTTTGCCGCCTCCAAGATGCCGTCCTTGTTCTCGGAACCGGCAGCGCAGCCCTCCTCTTGCAGCATGCTGGCTTACCGCTCGTCAAAGCTGTCCGTCTCGGGGCCAGGGCGGACGCCGTGCTCCGCCCCGCCCCTGGAAGCGCTGCTGGGCTGGAAGCTCCACCAGCACCGCACTTTGTTCTCCTCCATCTCCACGCCTCGAGAGCCATGTCGAACGCAGGCCAGGCTGGCCCCCGGCCCGGGCCGGCCGCCCCCCAGTCCCCGGCCGCACCAGCTCCTTGCGCCCCTGCTCGGCGGCGGCGTGCCGACACGAGTGGTGGTCCCTCTTTTACCGCGCCACACCGTCCGCTTCCTTTGCTCCCCTCTCCCCCTCCTCCTCCTGCTCTGCTTCGTCCTGGTGGTGCTGCTGGTGGTCTGGTCTGGTCTGGTGCGGTTGTGTAGTGAGTATGGATTTCATTCTCCACGCAGACCGGAAACGTTTCCGCGCGCGCCCCTCTGCGTGTGTGTGTGTATGTGTGTATGCGTGTGTGTATGTGTGTGTGTGTGTGAATGTGAATGTGTGTGGCTTGGAGGCATTAGTATTCTCATGGCCACGGGTTTTTGGATGGGAGTGGGTATTATGTCTTACAGCCACTTGTGCATGGCCCGGCATGGCCGCCATGGCTGGCCCCCATGGCCAGGGGCGTTTACCCCACATAACGCCGCGCTCTCCCTTCCGCCGCTCCTTCTCCGCGGACGTTATTTCCAAGTCGGTTGCTTCTTCTTCTTCTTGGCGCGGGAAGGGAAGGGAAGAAAGGCAATGACTGTAAACTCCATCGCGCCCTCCAGCCGCGGGAGGGTGGGTGCGGGTAC